ACTCTCTTCGCTTTTGTTCCACAGTTCGGCCACAGCGACAGCCACAGTCACCGGATTTGCCGATTCGACTGCTTCATTGCCTGCTCCTGTCAACGGGCAAGCCGTGGTCTCGTCCAGACGACACAATGGCTTGGAAAAAAACACGACAAAAGACACATACTACTGCTCAAACGTAGTACCCTCAGTAGTAACTTCGCCAACAACTGAATTGGTCGGTGACGCCTGGCCAGAGCTGCTACCATCCGAGCTGAAAGTCCTGACCTCTTTGGGGACGAGTTCACAGCAAATGGAGCGGAGCAGATGCGGTCACAGTGGAGCTCCTCGGACTTGGTGCATGGGAAAGGCACCGGGCTCAATGCAAAGCCTGACACGTCTGGAAGGTATGCAAATTCAGTACTGGTCTCTAGATAGACCCTAGCAACAAAGGAAAGTTAGTATGAAGACCGATTTGTTGTGTCCTCTGTTTTGGTCGCATGAAATTGGTTTGATTTCGTTTTAGCAACGCAGTCCTGTTGTTAGGTAGATCTAGAGATGACATGTCGAGATTATAGGCGCAAGAAACCTAGGCGAAGTTGAAACTACAGTCAAATCCAGTTCAGCCCAGTCTAAACGAAGATACCTTTTGAGAAACAAAGCTATGATAAAATGAATGGAAACATGAGGCCTACTCATAGCATTGTGGACAAATTCAACTGCATCACCTTGTGCCACCTTGGAGTGATACAGCTTTCAGTCAAGGTCTGCTGCTTTTGCAAGAATCTGTTCAAGTAATGTATGATTTCACCCGGAACGAGGGAGGTTGTCTCGTGGACTGCGTCAAACGGAACATCGTAGTAAAGCCAAACAGCTACAGAACAACGGTAATCAATCGGTGTATTCCGTTGAGATCAATTAAAGAATCGCTTCATCATTCAATTTCATGCAAAATGTAAGCTTCCATAACACTGTTAGCTCAAGGCATCAATCGAAACCCATCTATTCTTCCTATCTTAATCGTAAATAAACTTGGCATAG